CTGGAGATAATGATGATGATCACATAACAATGTGAACATACTTAATGTCACTGAAGTATGCATATAAAAGTCATTCAGATGGTATATTACAGTTTTAAAAAATTGTACGGATAAGTGAACCTCACTCAGAGTGACACCATAGTTCAGAAACAGCCCTAGGGTTTCTCACAGCTTTCACAGAAAAAGTCCAATTATTTTAGCTTCATTAAGTAAAAGGAACTTAGAAGAAATAGAAAAATGACATGTAAATCAATGAAATACCTACCTACACCTTGACTAATTTCTACATTTTATGGAACAAAGAAAGTTTGTTCAACAATTGTGCTGGGAAAACTGGAAAGCTACATGCAAAAAAATGAAACTAGATTACGACCTTGCACCATACACAAAAATCTACTTGAAGTGGATTGAAGACCTAAACATAAGAATGGAAACCATAAATTACCTGGAAGCAAAGATAGGTGAAACACTACACGACATACACTTCATAACATCTTTGAAGATACAGCACACAGTGCAATGATAGTGAAGGCAAGGATAAATAGATGGGACTACTTCAAGGAAAAGAGCTTCTGTACAGCAAAAGAGACATTACAAAAAAAACAGACATCCCATTGACTGGGAAAACATTTTCTCACACAAAACTAGTGATAAAGGATTGATCACAAAGACATACAAAGAACTGATGAAACTCAACAAAAATAAACAACCCCATCAAAAAATGGCCAGAATAGCTAAAAAGACACTTCTCCAAAGAGAAAATGCAGATGGCCAACAAGCATATGAAAAAATGTTCAACATCACTCGTAATAAGGGAGATGGAAAACCACAATGAGATACCACCTCACCCCAGTGAGAATGGCACATCTTAAAACAACCAGCAACAGCAAATGTTGGTGAGGATGTGAAGAAAAAGGAACTCTCCTGCACTGCTGGTGGAAATGCAAACTAGTACACCACTATGGAAAACTGTTTGGAAGTTCCTTAAACTGCTAAACATGGAGCTTCCATATGCCCCAGCAATCCCACCCCTAGGTATCTACCCAAAAGACACAAAAACACTGATTGAAAAAGTTACCTGCACCCCCATGTTTATTGCTGCTTTATTTACAACTGGAAAGACATGGAAACAACCCAAATGCCCAAAAGTGGATGACTGGATTAAAAAGATGTGGTACAGGCCCTCCCTGGTGGCGCAGCGGGTTAAAGCACAGCACTGAGAATCTAAAGTTGCTTCCGCATGAGTTCGATTCCCGCCTGCCCTGGAGGTGACCACATGGCGTGGCAGACCTCTCCTGACCCGCCCGCTGCTCCCTCAGCAGTGTAATTCGTCAGTCAGCCTGTTCTGTTCCCCACTCTGTCTCTGGTGAAGCCTCTCACCGCCCCTGAGCCTCTGGCCTGTACCCTAGTTCTGTATGCACAAATAAATCTTAAAAAAAAAAAAAAAGATGTGGTACATAAACAGAATGGAATATTACTCAGCAATCAAAAGAGAAACACATGCCTTTTACAGCAACATGGATGGAGCTCAGTGAAATAAACCAGAAAAAGGAAAAATACCAGATAGTTTCACTTATAGCAGGAGTATAACGGGCCAAGCAAGAAAATAATAATAATGATGAACAGCTATATACCAGAGACATTTTATGGGCAGTGGAGTGGGGAATGGGATCAAAAACAGTGGGGGGAGGGTATACACTGGACTATGGTGATGGCACATGGGTGATTTGGTGATGGGACACCCACACTAGTTGATCTACTGTTATAAAAAAAATACTCAGGCTCATTGGAAGTAGATGATCATGTGGTCAAGTTGCTATAATCAGAAAATTATACTGGGGTTTCAGAATGGAATTGGAGGTACACAGGGGAGAGAAAAATTTAGAAGGTCGCTAGCTGAAATGGAATCACACAAAGTTTATTTTTAGTAAGACCTATAACCATCCAGCTTTCTATAAGATTGATTTTTCTCAAAGGGCTCCACCAAAGGTATTTTGGCAAGGTGGCAAGGATTTAAGTGACAATCACTTGTCTTCCTTCTGGTTCTTGGTTCTTTTATCTCTTGGCCTAGTCTTTCAGAATATTTTTTTCTTCAAATCATTTATTAGCCAACAAATGCATGCTGAGGTTATTTTAATTTTAGTAGAGAATTCAAGACAAGGTGAAAACTTTTCAATATAGAGGCATGATTCTGAATTGCCAGTAGAAGAATTTTAGGCACCATGGTTAGAGGAGTAAAAGAATTTTAGGGTAGACAGCCTGCCCACAGGTTAAAATCAGCCAGCTACTTTCCTAGAATATGTTTAATTGAATTTTTGACTAATTGCAATAAGAGTATTCATCAATTTGGTAGTACAATATGCTTCACTATCAGTTTGAATTACAATTATGGATTTAACAATTCATTTAACATATAGCCATTCAGCACCCACCAAGTATCATATCCAATAGTAAATAAAACACACTAGGTCCCTGCCTTCTATTGGGAGGTGATAATTGACCACACATGTAATTTCAAATGAGAAGAAATTTGAGAACCAATGTGGTCATTTTGACTGAAAATGGTTAGGTCAATGAAGTTATCTGAAGAGCTAACATGTAACCATAGATCTGAATGTTAAGCATCAAGTCATGTGAAAATTTAGGTGAACCGTATATAGGCAAAGGCATATTCCATAAGCAATAGGATCATAGCAAATGAAGAGGGTGATAAGAAGTTGGAATAACAGGAGAGGTCGAGTTCATGAACAAAGGTGAAGGGCAGATTGGTGAAGAAAAAGAAATGTTATGTTGCAAGTTTTTAAAGATCCTCTATGAGCTTTGTGAAGACTTAAGGAAGCAAGAATAAAGTCAGGGGGAATAGTTGGGAAGTTTTGTAGAGTAGGAGAAGGTGGAAAATAGGGGTTAAGGGAGTATGAGGTAATTTGAGTCTAGGCTGCATTTTAGAAATGAAACAGGACTTGAGCTGGAGTAGATGTAAGGAATGAAGAGATGACTCGAACTTAATTCCCAAGTTGTCTTTGCTAGAACAAGTGGACAAATGAAACATTCATGGAAGGAATATATTTGAAGGCCAGCAAAAATCAAGAGTTTGATTTGCATCTGTGAAACTGGAGATGCTTACTTCTCATAGGGATTTTGACTAGGGAGTTGTACATACCTAGGTATCATTCAGAGGAGAAGTTGGGGCCAGTTATGTGGATCATATGTCAACATAAGAATGCTCTTGAAACCCATGAGACGAGAGATGGGAAAGTTTTTACACCTAAATTTTGAGGGATGCTAATACTATTTAGAATAGTAGTTTGATATTGCCAGGGAAGCTTTAAACTAATATTGAACTCATTCATGCATGTTAAGTGCTTTGCTAGTTATGATTAAGCAATAGGGAGATATAAAGTCAAATAAGACTGATCACTAAGTTTGATGAAATTTCTATTCTATTGAGAAGAGAGCTACAAATGATTACAATAGAAAAGTGATTTTGATTCTACATTTACAGTGTCATTTTACTTTTCATTCCCATTTCTACTAACCTAGTATAGACCTTGAAAGTGAGTGAGTAGTTCCTAACCATTCTCACTAGGTTTAAACCTAGGTGTCAAATTCTTCTTCCTAAAGTAAAACTTTGTTCAGATCTTTCAGTAATTGAAGAGTTATTAGTTGAGCACCCACTAAGTACAAAAAGAAATAGACTTGTCTCTTACAATGGAGGATTAATTTCTGGTTCAAAAATCATAACTGTATAATATCAATCAGATGAACCTCAGTAGCTATCCTGTTCATGTAAGAATCCCTTTTATGAAGGAAAAATACTGGATGGTTTCACATATAGCAGGAGTATAAAGGACCAGGGGAGAAAATAATAATGAACAACTATATATCAGACATTTTATAGGGGTGGAGTGGGGAATGGGATCAAAACAGTGGGGGGAGGGAAGTACATTGACTACGGTGATGGCACACGATTGATTTGGTGATGGGAAGCCCACAGGGATTACAAGTAAGATGGAAAAAGAACAAAATGATGTAAAAATAAACTATTTTTATTTTTTTAAAAAGAATCTCTTTTATGAAGCTTTCTGCTAATAAGCAGATAACTGGATAACAGCACATTGAGTTAGTACCTAAACATCTCAGAGGATTGAGAATTCACGTTTTTTTCCTTTGTGTTTCTTTTCTTTCTTTCTTTTTTTTTTTAGTAGTTACTGAGATATACTGATCTCCAGCACTGTATAGGTTAGGGGTTTGTTCATACATCTTCAAATCTATGTTATCATACCACACAACTCTAAAGCCCAGTAACGCTCCACAATAGTCTATTTTGCTTTTCTTTTTCTTTTTCTTCTACCCTTGCTCCCCCCCCACCTTGTACCCTCATTTTTTAGTCAGATAATGGTTCTTATTAGTTTTCTCTGTTCCTTGTTTCTTTATATTTCACAAAGGAATAAAAGCATTTGATATTTGTCTTTCTCCTGACTTATTTTGCCTAGCATAATCCATTCCATCCATGTTGTTGCCAATATATTTTGTTTATACCTGAGTAGGATTTAATTGAAGTCTATATCTTTAGTTCACTTATCAGTTGGTAGACACATAGGTTGTTTCTATTGTAAATAATGCTGCAATAAACAGGAGTGTTCATCCCTTTAAATTAGTTTTTGGATAGAATTTACTTTGTTTAAAAAGAGTTTAATGTATTCAGATGCTGGAAATTTTTAGGAGTTTTTCCTTCAATGATGCTTCTACTTAAGTGTTAGCTTCTTTGAACATTCAGGGTCTGCAAAATTTGACAATAAGGGATTTCAGTCTTAGCTTATAATATTCTCTTTCACATCTCCCTTTCTGAATGTGCTTTCACGCCATCATACTTCCCCTTAGCTCCCTCATATCAAATCCTTTATGATTGGGTTCAAGTACTACCTTCTTCATAAAACCACCCAGAGACTGTTGGCTGATCCTTTGTCTCCCACACCAGAGAATGCTCAGACTTGTCTTACCTTCCTGGTGTGCACCGTGGTGGCTGGCAAAAGTGTCCTCTCATTCATGCTTCACTGAAAGGCCTGTGAGAGCTGACCCAGGCCTTGACAGCTCTGCTCCTGCACAGCAGAAGGACCATGTTTTCCACTCTGAAAATAAAGAAACTATTTGCTTTCTTACTACTGATACTGATTCTTAAATTTAAATATCAGGCACCTATTGCACAGCTGATATCCTCCCCTCCCCATTTTAGAAGCACAACGGTAATTTTGGGAGGAGATAATACACGTGAAACAATTACCTAATACATTAAAAATAAGATGTAAGCAACAGAAAATAACAAAGGTGTTAAGGAGAAGAGAAATGTTAAGTTGAACTGGAACTTTGAAAATCCATTTAATAGTTACTCAAAGTGCTAGGCAATTGAAGCCTGAAGCAATGGCTGAGTTAGGAACACTAGAGGGAGCCAAGGCCTGCAGTCTGGAAAGAAAGCCTTATGCTCAGGTAGCCTTGGGTTCACAGATTTGAAACATTTGTTTAGAAGTATCCCCATTATCACTTGTTCAAATTCTCCCACAGAACAATTTCTAAAAGGAAAACCATTTTCTATTTTACTGTTGCTAAACATTTTTTTGAGGGGACAAATATTAAATATTTAATGTCTGTACATTTCATGTCATTTTTGCCAATGGGTATCTCTTGAATGTTAATTGAACTAATCTATTCTATTTAAAAACGCGGGGGAGCCTCTGGGGTAAGAGTAGAGAAGGTTCAGGTGGGATCCTGACCAGTGAGCTCCTGGCACATTCAGTCTGGTCTAAGCTTGGGCTGTGCTGTGACTCCAGTTTCCAGAGCTCCCTGCCATCACTTCTCCAGGCCAGGTGTGGGAGGTTGCTGCTTACATTTTCAAATACCAGGCCTCTGGGATAGAGTACAACCCAGAAATCTCTTCACTTGTCTAATTCCCTAGAAAATCCTAAGCAAATAGTACTTAAAACTTCCTAGAAGTTCTAGGGCAGCAGTGAAAACTCAGTTTAGCCAATGTATTACTTGCTAGTGCCTCTCTGGTAAACAGCTCCCACCCACAAGCAGGTGATAACAATGAAAAGTTGGAAGGTAGAAGTCAAGTAGGAAAACCCTGATTTATTGCCCTACTTTAAATAGGGAGACATTAAACTCTGTAAGACTGTACACCTACCAAAGGCTTAGAACTAAAATATTTTTTGCTATAGATGTTTATTTGTACTAAAACTGGAAACATGGGCACTTAGTAAAAGGTAAACAACTTAAGATGCATATCACCTACAGAGAAAAATGAGTAAATAAAGTAAAAATAAGCATTCAGCCATAAGACCAAGTAAGTGGTTACCAGAAAGAGAGGGGGTAAATCGAGTAAGAGCAGCCCATTGGGCTTTTAGTGGTGACCTTAATGTAGTATGTGCAAACACTGCTTTATTTATTTTTTTTAAAGATTTATTTATTCATACAGAACTGGGGTACAGGCCAGAGATGCAGAAGGTGAGAGGATTCACCAGAGACAGAGCGGGGAACAGAACAGGCAGATCGACAAAGTACACTGCTGAGGGGAGCAGCGGGCGGGTCAGGCGAGGTCTGCCACGCCATGTGGTCACCTCCAGGGCAGGCGGGGATCGAACTCATGTGGAAGTGGCTTAAGCTTCTTAGTGCAGTGCTTTAACCCGCTGCGCCACCAGGGAGGGCCCCAAACACTGCTTTGTAATGATGAACACTTGAAGCCAATGGTATTCTAAAGCAGGTATCACTTCACTAAAAATTTTAATTTAAAAAGACTTTCAAAAAGGTAAAAAAGCTATCGTAACTAATGCAATATTGAAATACAGCTTGCCCAGGTCTAACGGAGAGGAAATCATCAAAGGGGTGACGCTTTGGGGAACCCTGGCTTGGAGGGTGTTCCCACATTACCCCCTCCCACTGCCACCCAACAGAAACCAGAAGAATGGAAGACACAAAGCCACATCAGCTACTACAGTGCCTGTGAGGCTCCCTTTCATCCAGATGCCACCATCAGAACTCAGGTGGCTGTCACAGGTTTCCAGAAAAGCTGAGGGCAGGTGGATGGAACCAAGCCTGTAGCTGTGAGCGCAGTGATGAAGCGGCTTTGGCTTCTTAATGCTGTGCTTTAACCCGCTGCACCACCAGGGAGGGCCCTGTGAGTGCAGCTTTTAAGGTAAAAGGGGGGCACATTAGCGACTCTTTGTACCACCACCCCCCCACCCCATGCTGCTGTTCCGTGGCCTGATATTTACCTGCTCACCCTAGTCTGAAAGGAAAGAGGAAAGGGAGACAAAAGCAAAGCAAGAGGGGAATTGCTCTGAACACTGGAGATACCCAGGGAGGATGAGCCAGGCAAGCAGGAGTGGGAACAAGGCTGAAGCTGTTTCTCCTAGATGAGACAGGTCAGAACCCTGTTCTTGCAGGTAGAAGGGCCTGGAACGCCAACCTTAGGGAAGGGGGGGGGGGCTGTGGGGGCTGGGAGGGAGGCCTACAAGTTCCTTGAGTTTATGCTCAGTCATCCAGATTTTCCCAGAAATCGGTCCAGTTTGGTGTCCTTCCACAGGAAGGGAAAACCTCCTGAAGGTGCTGGCAGAACAGAGAGGGCAATATGCACACCGTATTTGAACCTGCAATAGGCCAGACTTGAGGCTGGGAGGGGCCACGCACCATGTGCGGGCTTGAGGCCTGGGCCCAAGGCTGTGTCTCGTTAACTTCTGGAGCCAGGTGAAGAGAGTCAGCTCTCCCACAGTCAGCCGCTGATGAAGGCAAGCCAAACCTCAAGCTTCCCCTCGTCCTTGGGAGTGGAGGAAGTGAACACAGCTGCAGCCCTGAAGTGAGGGTCAGCCCTCTTCGTGCTCAGAAGTAGGGATGGTAGTAGGGATGGCCACATCACCAAGAACACGGATTCTGGTGGAAGTGACCTCCTTCTGCAAACACAAGCTATGTGTGGATGACAGCCACAACCACATCCTCCTAGCTGACTCCTGTGGCGTGGATGTGAACGGAATGAAAAGCCCAGGAAAGGACAAAAAGCATTCCCACTTGTATATTCCTCCTTGTTTTATGAAGTAAATCCTTCAAGATGTGGTCCAGTTATCATGCTCTCCATAAAATTACCCTTTACTTCCACAGCTGACCCTTTGTTCCCTCACCTGATATCACTGAGACTTATTCTTACCTGCCTTGTGTGCCCTCTTCGCTGAAAGGCTCATGGGAGCTGGTACATCCGAGTACAGCAAGCACAGAGAATCTCACTATGGGTTGAGGCCGACGAATGAGGAGAAGCCCACAGCCCTTGGTGGATTTTTCAGGCTTTAAGCTCTCTCAGGGAACTAGGTACACAGGCGTGCCACTCGCTGTCTGGGCTTCTCTGACGCGCTCTCTCACGAGTCGCTTCGTGGTCTCTCCCTTCTAGAGGAACACCATCCATCCTCCCAAGGCCGTCCTCCGTGTCTGCTTTTAGCTCCACCTCCAGGCTCAGGTGCTTGCACTTACGCATGCGTGGACAGCCACACTCCGGGCGTCCATAATCAGACCCACCGGCGTGCTCTGCGCCCACGCCCCCACGCGCTTTCTGCTTGAGCAGAATAAAGGCCTCAATTGATAGCCACAGTGGCTCGGAGCCAAAAAGCCTGGTTAATTCACCCATCCATGGGCATCTCTGCCTCCACCACAGCTCTCAGCACAGGGACTTGAAAGTTTCTTTAGTCCCCCTATGAAAAGAGGATGCTATGTTAATTTTCTTAAGACACTCTACATGCTCTTATTTGCTGATTCCTAAGTTAGATCCAATTTTAGACACGTGCTGTACACCTCACACTGTGTCTCATTTCAGAGACATGAAGACACAAATGTGACCTTGCTTTGTTAACACAACATATAAGGCCCAATTACATTATGACATTGAATAAAATGAAATGCTAAACTGTAAATTGTAAAAGGACGGTCCAGTAAGGGGCTGGAGGCTAAAGAGGAGGGTATAGTTCAAGGGTACAGTTGACCCTTGAACATGGGTTTTAAGTACACAGGCCTGTGCACTTGGATTTTTTTTTAAAGATTTTATTTATTTCTGCATACATAATAGAGGTACAGACCAGAAGTGTAGGGGCAGTGAGAGAATTCATGAGAGACAGAAGGGGAGCAGAGCAGGCAGACTGATGAAGTACACTGCTGAGGGGAGCAGCGGGTGGGTCAGGAGAGGTCTGCCTTGCCATCTGGATCACCTCTAGGTTGGGAATCGAACTCATGCTGAACTGGCTTTTGCTTCTTAGTGTTGTGCTTTAACCCACTATGCCACCAGGGAGGGCCCCTGTACTTGGATTTTTTTTTTCTTTCAATAATATGTTGGAAAACTTGGGAGTTTTGCAAACTTACAAGAAATATCAGAAATTTTTTTTTCTTTTTTTTTTTTTTTAAAGATTTATTTATTTGTGCATACAGAACTGGGGTACAGGCCAGAGGCTCAGGGGCGGTGAGAGGCTTCACCAGAGACAGAGTGGGGAGCAGAACAGGCAGATCGACGAAGTACACTGCTGAGGGGAGCAGCGGGCGGGTCAGGAGAGGTCTGCCACGCCATGCGGTCATCTCCGGGGCAGGCGGGAATCGAACTCATGCGGAAGCGGCTTTAGATTCTCAGTGCAGTGCTTTAACCCGCTGCGCCACCAGGGAGGGCCAATATCAGAAAATTTAAGGAAAAGTTAGGCATTTCATAAATATGTACTGAATGTACTGAACCGCAGATGGCTCATGGAACCTTTTTGTAATTGTGAGATGCAAACAAACATTATCAGTAAGGCTTCAGTCCACAACAGACTATTAGTTGGTAAATTTTTTGGAGTCTAAAGTTCTATACAGATGGTCAACTGTAACAGCAGCTAAACCGCCATGCTGTTCAAGGGCCCCCTAGTTAGTTGAAGTAAGCTGGTGGCAGGGAAGATTTGCTCAGTCAGGCAGTCCCACATATGTTGCAGCCCTTGCCGGGAATGCCCTGCTTAGAGACATTTGCTACCACTGAGGAATCTGGAGTTAAATCTGGAGCTTGGAGTGGTCCCTGGCAGAACAACTTACTATCACCTTGGCTGCTTTGCCTTCTTGTTGATCTTCAAGAGTCCCAGGCAGAAGTTGCAGCCATTGTAAAGGATTCTTGAAAATCTGCTACTTGCATCTTGGGAGAACTGGAGTGAGGTAGCTGGAAGTCTCTCTTAACCTTTTCCTCCTCCTTAGCTGAGTAGGAGTGGATTTGGCTCTGGTCATCCAAGGATAGAAGTCTCTGACTTCTTATAGGGCTGCCTAGATCATTACCCTTGCCATGTGTGACATGTGGGGTGACATTTACTTGCTCCATCAACCAGGTACTGGGAAGTGACTTTATTCTCACTTGTCTTCAGCTCATGTATCTAAGCTGCCTCTAAACCTCATATCTGAAAGATGAGCCTTTCCTTTTCTAGTGTTGGTTCCATGTCTTGTTGCTTTAGCCACATGAGGCTAGGTAGAAGAAGAGCTGCCTAGAAACCAGTCTTGGGCTTTAGTTTGATTTTGAAACATTTATAACAAATTCTGGGATAACATGGTCTATGAATCTAACCAGCAGGTATGCCCTGAACATGGCACAGGCTGGTGTAATGGTGGCATGTTTCAAGACTTCACAAGGGCTTCATTGTTTTTCCTGTCTCAGCCAATATTTTCCCTCCCCTGTGTGTATTTACTTATTTATTTTTTGTCACAAGTGCCTAGCACAGAGCCAGCAGGCAGAAGATACCCAATAAAGGATGCTGAATCCTGAGGGATACACTTGGCAGATGAATGACACCAGCTAATGCAGGATTAAAGCTATGGTATGATGCAATGATAAAACTAAATATCCTCTATTTCACTTTATAACTGTAAATCTGAAACCTTCGGAAAAGCATTGTCTCCACTGTGATGCCCACGTCAATGATCCTGCTTATCAAATTCTGGTGATGAGCGTGGAAGGAACAGCTCTCTATAATCTATTTACCTTAAGGAGCTCAGTCACATGCTCAGCTCACAGCCCGTTTATCAGGATGAAGGATGCTCTCTGGAGAGAGCAGACAGCAGGACAGGCCGAGCTTGGATGACAGTCTGCCCTGTGGAGATTGACTTTAATGAAGCACAGAATAAACAGGAAGATTAAGAGGGTGCAAAAATCAGTGACAAGTTTTGAGTTTACCTCTCTGTAGGAAATGAAAGTCTCTCTGTACAGCTGAGAGCTGTCTCTGAGTTATAGATGGGGTAATCTGTTTGGTCACTAATGATTCTATGCTATCTAGAGCTGCCTCTGTGAGAAAAGAAAAGTCCTCCCCCCCCACCAAATTTACATTTTATTTAAATCTTTCCCAAAAGCTAGTTTTATATAATGAGTAAAGAATTAGACTTACTGAATGATGTGAGAAATTATTTAATACATTAAAATATTTTTCTGTCCTATAGGGACTAAATATTTTTAATGTTGCTCATTTATACACTCCCTCCACTTTGTGTTGAGAAATCATGTTCACTCAGGTTTGTCACTCAAAAATACAGTTGCTCACATAGGAATGGCTCACAGTACAGAAGGGCTAAATTCCTGGAATTAAACAAAACCAAAAATCTAGTCTTCCTCATAAAGTAATGCTATTTTCTACAGGCACTTACTGACATTCTGACATTTCATTGTATGTTGTCTCCGTTCTTCAATGAATGTATGTTTTTTCCTTATAAAGAGAAAGAAATCTCGACTGCAAAACAGTCAAAGGAGATAATTCAGAATTCATGACCTTTATTTGGAGATGATGGTTTCATTTAGAGGACACAAGTGGGAATACGTTCTTATTTCACTATAGCTTTTTCTTTTGAAAACACATATCTCACAAAGGTAGAGACAAAGCATAAATTTTATATAGTGCATCCCTTATCCTTTAATCAAATTGGTAAATGGATGTGTGTGCACATGTATATGTACACGTTGGCTAAATTTGTCAGGCATTCTTATTGAGACCAGTAGGTGGCAGTCTAGTTCAAGTTGATAATCTAACCTTCCAGTTTTCTAGCAGTCAACATTTATTGAGCCATAATTGTGAAGAAGACACTGTACTAATCAGCTGGAATATACCCAAATGAAAATGTGTTGCAACACAAAAGTAACTCAAAATCATATTTTCAAACTATTTTCAGAAAGTTGACGTTTTTCCAGCTCCAGGGCATGATCATAGTAGAGTGACCAGACTGCCTGGAGCCAGGTAGGATTGTCAGAAAATTCCTTTACAGAAGAGGTTCTTGAAAGAGAGCAATGGGGATTACAACTGAGATGAAAAAATTGTACAAAATGAAAAATGATGTAAAAATTAATTAATTAATTAAAGCGAGAAACAGAGTACCTAGGGGAGGGGAGGAGATATGGCAACCAGTCACAGCCTGTACAGGTAAGAGAATGGCTGTAGAAAGGTTTCTTGGGAACCAGAGTGGTATGAATGAGGAATATGAGACAGTTTATAGGTCTCATATTACAGTAGACAGTAGACAGGTCTACTTTGAGAAAATTACCTGTTATAGGCATAAATCAACAACCAAGTTGCACTTAATAAGAAGAAAGCATATGAGTGGGGTTGGTAGAGAACAAGAGAAACACTCAGATTTGCAAAAATAAACTGAGGGCAGCCAAAGGTGTACCTTTGCATCCAACTTTCACTATTAATTACTTACCACAGTAAAATTCAAGTCAGTGTACTAAACCAACATTTTTAACTCTTGGTTTTATATGTTATTAATTTATATTTCACATTATGTAATTCTGCATATGATGGAACTTCTAGTCAAATATAAACATTGTTTCTACCTACATGTAGAACTCTGAACCACACGTCACCAAAGATCCATTGGACTATAATCCTTTTGTTACCCTTAATATAGCCTAATCGTCTGTCTTCTGCAAATTTTATGGATTGTTTATTCAATTTTTCTAAGTTCGGAATAGCAGAAAGGTCATAGTGCAACGAGAGAAATGTATTTGTGTTTGCAATTTAGCTTGTATTTATTTTTAGGGCATTTGGGGCAATGGAAGAATCTTAATTGGCATTGTACTTTCTAATGCAAATTCAAAGTTAAAGCAGCAAGGAGGTGTTTTAAATAATTCAGCAGAAACTGTACCAAATGAACAGTTAGCTAAATCTCTTTAAGGTCTCAAGTATAGCAAACCATTAATGGGAACTATATTGCTTAATCTACAGAAAGTGTTTTCCATTCACCATATGTTACCAGGACTATCATTAAAACAGAAATTTATTATGAGGATGAGTCTTTAAAATGCTGTGCTGAGGCCCTGGGTCCTGGAACCACTGACTAGGTCAGCATTTTGTGGTTTTAAGCAGTGATGTGCCTTGGGTAAGAAAAGAGAATGAGGTTCATTAATTCTTGATGTGCATTAAACAGAAATACTATACTTTTT